CATTAGATCAAGTGCGTTATTTAAGAACATTCAATTTACAAAATAACTGCAATTTAAGGTCACATTGAAACAATCTATTTGCAATTTTTATCCTAAATTTAGCTAAATTCGAGTAGAGAAAAATGTCCTTAATATTTGATTGTGACAACTTTTGTAGCGTTTTTTCCCTTGGCTGGAAAACATTCATGTAATTTAACACGAAATGAAAAGATGATAGAGGGTTAGTGTTGGAATAGCAGTTGTCTTTTAATTATGACGCCTTTGTTCCTGGTTCTATAGTGTTCCCTCTTGGATCTTTTTTGGCAGTTACCTGAATGAGTTTAATTAAAAAAAAATTACATTGAATAGGCATTTTCCTACTAATATTTAAATGCCTTATTCAATTTAGTAATTATAAACTCCGTTTATTTAGCTATTTCTTTTAAACAAACCCTCGGTGAGTTATTTGTAAATTAATATGAGATACATCCTAGTCAAATCCACTACCTTAAGGCCTCACACCAACAGTAAGGATGTAAGGATTCATTATGTGTGACAGTCTGGCCTATACAAGTTTCTACAGTCGCTTTTGCAGTTATGTTTAAAGTAACTATAGGACGAAAACTTTTTTCAGGTTCTGGTTTCTTTCTAAACTAATAAGACTACTCTCATTCAAGGGTCATTTGTGAGAATAAAAAGCTATACATTTAAACGTTTCAGTAAGTTTGTACTTCATGTTCCAAACCGTTGATCCGATCACTGAGAAACTTTTAAGATTCCGTATAATTAACGGTATCAGAATCTATAATATTTTGCTATCTATATTGCTCTGCCATATTTTCTTGTAATGCTCACGAGAATTCGTTACAACCTTCACACCGTTACTCAGTAAACAGTAAAATAACAGTATATGCATTAAAAGAGTATTTAAGATCTTTATGACCATCCAGCATATTAAAGGATCTACTTAAAGAGCCCCTAAGAAGCCAAAGAGAATACAAATTGACGATTGCTTAATAAAGCAGTTGGCCACTAAATATTATTTAATGCTCAGTAGCAGCAATAGGTAATGGTAGCAGATTAAAGGGCTATCGCAAAACCTATTTCTTTGTATTAAGTAACAATATTGTTAAGGTGAGTACACAACTCTTAGGCAAGAATCCTTGGGTACTTTTCTCTTACCTGAAAAATAATCGTCGAAGTTAAGAACTAATATAACCCAACCAACTTCAACCCATTGACATTGCAGAAGTCAAATCTCGATATAAAATCTATTACATGGCAAATGCATTTTTAAAATTCAACTTGTAGATTAATCAGGACAAATTTTCACTATGAAAATAGATAAAAGAGTCTATTTGTAGATACTTAGAGAGCCTTTTTTTCTAGTGTGGATTAACGTCCGCACGGGTGAGTACTACGACTATCCGCAGTACTATCCTGAAAATTTGACCAATTCGTAAATACCAAAGGCAAAAATGTGGTTCGGATTCCACGATAAACTGTAGGTCCCTTAGTTGCCATTAGCTGTTTGGGCTATTAATTAACAGCTGTGTCTAAGGAATATTTCGGCCTTAGTCACTAACAAGGCTACAAGATCGCGTCACTCATCCTAGACTCATCTCCATTCATACTTGGCTTAAAATACCTACTTTGTATGGTCGCCATTTCACTAAAAAGTATTAAAGTATTAAGTATTAAAGCCCCTAACTAACCAAAGAGAATACAAATTGACGATTGCTTAATAATACTCATGCATTAGTTTAAATTTGATATAATTTCATTTTTACATAATTGATTTGATAAGTCATATTAATATGATGGAGTAGTTGCTTTCGGTTTAGACAGTGGAAACAATATTTCGTTAATAATAATGAAAGCAGAAGTCAAAGGTAAAAGGCAAAAGTTGAGCTTTTGATCATAATGTGTGCAAAAGGTTATCAATAACGGTTACGATTCACCTCTTCTTAAAACGAATGTCTGTAGTACTAGGTTTTAGGAGTCATATTCTTAACTACAGGGAATGTTTTTAATAACTATAAAAGAAAAGAGTAATTCGAATGCATAAGTAGAAATTTAATTTTAAAATTTACTAAAAGTGTAAGATACGTATTAGAACAAGGATTAAAATACCACATGAGTAAACGTGTTTTTTTTTTATTTCATCATCAACTCAATCAAATAAGCAATCAAAAAATAAGCTAAAATAAATAATCAAATAATATAAAATAAATTTATAATTTTATTAATATCAAATAATCAAATAAGCTCAATCAAATAATTCAAGTATGAATGACACAATGAAAGACAATTTATTAAAATCTTATCTGTTCCACACAAGTCTTAAAATTATTCTTAGTTCAAGACCTCAACTCCATTATGTGTCCCATCACTTTGTGGAAAATTATGTATTTGGCGATAGGGGTTTTATAATACGAAAGCTTTTTCAAGGATGGAATAGGATAACATGACAACTGGTTTAAAACTCAAAGGAAGCTGTAGTGAAAATGTGTTATTCCAGTATTCGTTGACTCAAATGTGTGTTGTTAGCCTAGTGGTTTCAACTCGGACTTCGGTGCAGGAAGGACGGTTTTGGTTCCCGGTACATCCATAACTGTTTGGACCGCTGCTTTACCTAAAAGGCGTATAAGTACTTGCTTTTGTGCATCATGCAAAAATTCCACCAACGTGGATGTCATAACTTTATTTCATCGTACTAGTAAATTAATCAAAGTTATTTAAAATACTGTATACGCTTAACAGCACCAGTAGGATACACAAAGCAACATTCAGATACAGTAACTTGTGACAAAATGTGTCAGATTAAGCAATTAGTGATCCAATACCATGATAATGCAATCTGTGACCATCGTTGTCTCGGTGAAGACCACATCCATCGTCTTTGCCGCAAAACCATTAAATCTGTCAGGTGATATTGTCTAGACAAGCGGAAACAACCCAATTAAATACTATAGAATAATATATCAACAAAATATCGTTCTTGTGAATACACGTATCATAGAAAATACCCAAATTGTCCGAGTGACTATTTAATTTTTTATTGGGATAAATCTACGTGTTTGTCGGGAAACGTATTTCTATTGAAAGTTTAGTAGCTTTTAATTTCAGAGAATCACTATAATAGCTGAGAAAAAAGTGAGTTGTTGTAGACATTTTACAGTTGTACTTCAACTAAAACTCAAAATCACAAAAAAAAAACAAAAAAAACAAACTATTACCGAATAGTCCAGTGGATATAATGCTAGCTAACATTGAAAATGTCACCGGTGCGGTCTTGATAAAAGTCAGTAGTGTTCTTTAAGATTTAATAATAGACTCAACTGTTTTTTTTTTAATTGGCGTTTTGATAAATTAGCATGGTTAGAGAAACAACTGGTCATAGTGATAAACAAAGCTAATTCGAATATTTCACATAATTATACATTTATTCTGAATATATATTGAGTTACCCAATGTAGGCCAATGTCTTATATTAGTGAAGTGGTCAAGAGATCTAGGCTACTAACAAATTTATCACTTAACTAAATAGGGGTAAACAAACTGTATGATTATACCAATTATCTGTCTCATAGTATATCGATTAAAATATTTATATTATTTTGTCCATTCTATTAAAGTAAATTCCTCAAGAAATTCATTCTTATTTCTATTCAGTGAACGTTTTTGATTGCTTATTGTCAAACCACAAAAATAAACAATTAAAAGTGTAACTAATTTAATAAGCTATTTAGGTATTAATTCTTAAAACATGGGCCTCCTCCAATGGGCAGTTTTGGCCAATTATTAATAATTTTCTTTTTGAATTTTAAACTAATGTAGGCCTATATATTCTTAAAAATGTTTAGATGAATTTTCAATCCATTTTGAAAATTGTTTCCTATTTTATTGGTTGTTTTAGTATGCTGGAGCAAATCGCGATATTTTCATTTTTCACCAAATCTCTTTCATAATGGCCGTTACTTTCATCGCTTTTTATTGGTTTATTTTCTAATCTACAAACTAACTAGCAATATGAATTCTAAGCTTTATAATTTATATATTTTAGGAAATAAACCTTTTATATAGTGTAACTTCGTTTTGTTATAGTACTTCAGTACACTACATGTGATATGCATATGACCTAGCACTGCACCAGCTGTTTGCTGTAAACGCCGTTTGCCGCTTATAATGTTTTTCCCGTTTTCGAACACACGATTTTCAATAACTTGTGACCCATATAAGATAGAGTGTTGACATTTTTACCTCTTTATCTTAATAAGATTTAGTAGCTTTTTAACTATGGTAATCATTTTACATGATATATTGCTCGTTTTATAATTTTTTTTTAAAGAAATGTAAACTTAAAAAATATATATATATCATTTTAGTTACATAATAGCTAGAATATTTTCCATAGTTAAAAAACTGTATTAATTTTATATGTAGAATTAATCTTTAAAATTTTAGGCAAAATAGTTTAAAAACAAAAAAGTCATTCAAGTTCTTTTTTTGCCCACAAAATACGATAAAAGAGATGAAATCATAAAATTTTATCAACACCAAAGGTAAGGTATCATTTTGTTGTTTTTTTCTTGTATTTTACTATACCAAATTTATAAACTTACTATTTATGGGAAAAAAATCAAAAATAGGAAGAATATGTTTCGGAGGAGGCGTATTCGCTTAACTACTGTAACGTTGAATAGTTCGGGAAACAAAATGGAAAGTAAATGTGACGGGAAAACAATGAACTTTTTGTAAGTGCAGTTCCATCAAGAATAATTTTGGTTTTTAAAATAATTAAATGAACGACAATCGCAGATTGCAGACGACGTCCCGGCGCGTTAACGGGTAAAACGGTTAGGAAGGCGACGGGCGTCGAAGTGAATCTAATGACAAGTTAGAGGTTTAAGGGATGAGATAGGCGGTGTAGGCGGCGCTCGGTGGGGGAGGGGAGGGGAGGGCGCCGGTATAAGAACGGTGGCGTCGTGGGGCGCGGAGCACTAGCGTCACAGCGTCCCCTAGTCCACGCCACAGGTACGTGCAATATGCGAGCTGACGCGACGTATATAACATGCCAACTGATTACGATAATGTGTCAGGTTAATTGATTCAGGGTTTTCAATAATCATCGGTAATTGTTCTATTATAAATAATCATTCACAAATTGTGACCTAATTTTAATTTTTCAAATATTTGTACGTTACAGAGTAAGTAAAATTAGGTAATTAATTCTTAGTACTACCACTTCTTAAATACTACTAAAACAGCTTAACTAACGTATTTTTATCGTGTCCATAAATAGGTGGAAAACAATAGCAATAATATATTTTACGATACACAGTTAGTTGCAACGCAAATTGAAAATAGTCTAGCAAAAGATTATATCAATGAAGTTGTAATAAATTAATGTGGATTTTAACGGTTTTACTTAACTTGCGAAATGTTTTTGTCAATACCTTAAGATATTTTTATATAAATCTGCAACTGGGGTTGATTTAAAACTTTGGTTAAAACCTTTTATTAATTTTGAAATTTTGAACATACAACTAAGCTGTATATATTCAACTATTTTTGCTGTAAGTTAACAAAATTTTTGTTTAGAATACATAAAACTATCTTTTAATTTATTCTCATAGGTAATAAATATGTTTGGTTAAAAATAAAAAGTTGACAATTTTATCAAATGGTATGAGAATGTGTAATTTTTTGTTAGATTACGCGACAAATACTAACCAAACTGTTATTTTAAATCAAATGAAAATTATATTACTTATAGATATTATTATATAAGTGTGAATTAAATATAAAACGGATTAATTCATCGCTTATGTACACAATATAAATACGAAAAGAATAAATTCTCCTACCATAAATTAAGAAATATATTTGACATGGGCAGGTAAAAGTTGTACGATAAAATAGTAAAGGTTATCTTTAAATAAAAAAAAATTAAGAATTGTACATTTCTAAAGATTAAAAATTTAAAAACCCGAGTTGTAGTCTTGCATAAATTATCTTATTTTTACTTATCTATAAAGAATAACAATTTAGACTTTAAAAAATCTATGGATTATTATTTGAAGGAGAAAGATTTTTAATTTCAACCTTCAGTGGGATAGTAATTACATTTCAACTATCAGACATGATATTTGTGTAGAACGAAGATGCATTTCTTTGAACGATTATTTTAATACCAAACAATTATTGTTGATACAATCTTTTATCTATCCTCACCCCTCCAAAAAAAAACAATAAATATTTTTATATGGTGAAAACGTTTTAATTTGTTTGCCAGTCTAAAATATTAAAATCGCAGATTTAGGGTTATTTAATTTCACTTTGCATTGTTTACTATTCTTCTGTAAACTATAAACTTATCTAAAACTGCAAATAATACAATTAATTTGAAGTGATTAGGTATGGTTAATCTGTACTTTACGTTTCCATTATTTTGGTCTCCATATTTAAATTGATATTTTAATTTGTGTATTGTGCTTAGATTACTTGATAAGAAAGGCATGCAATGATTGAATGAGGAATTTTGTATTTGATCCATAGTTAAAACGCACATTTGAAATTTAAATAATGTTCAAACTATATTTTGACAAACAAAACGCAATTGTTGGATTGATATTTAATCCATATGATTAAAAATAACATAAAGATGCGTATTAGTATGAAAATCTATGTAGAACTACATCCAGCAACACTCTTTAACATGGATTATATTTGCTTATCTGAAACATGTTCTTAAGCAATACAAAATGTTTGTATGATTGTAAATTTAGCTGTAAGATTTTTTTTATTGTATATAGAAACTATGGTTAGTTTACTACAGACTGTGGAAAATAAAAATATTTAAAATCCCACGAACTCATCGCAAGGTTTGACATGTTTGTTTAGGGGAAGTGATTTATCGCCATGAATTTTTCCATTTCATATAACCAGACGTTTTTATATTCATAGTAAGATACAAAATAAATTAAATATCCATTAAAAATATGCTAGATAGTTGTAACCTATAATCGTTTATTTTGTTGTGTGCTAAGATTTTTTAACTAAAAATAAAGTGTATAAATATTAAATTTTTAACCATTGTCCATACCTAGAATTTAGTTTTACTATTAGACGTCTGTCATTGAGTGGTATCCAAAATATTATAATGTAAATATTGGGCTCTACGGTAATTTTCATGTAGTCAGGTAAAATAAAATAAGGTGATACAAAATAAAAATACTTCCAGTCATTGAAGATTTAACTAAAATATTAATTTAATTTAACAGTTGTTTTTTAGTTTGTTGTTATACATTTTCAAGCTTAATTGATATTTTGTTTGTGCGTCGTATAAGTTGCTTAAATAAGATTCAAACAATATATGTTGGCAAAAATGGACCATTTGACACATCTCAAACCTGATACACACCAAATAAAAATTATAGATATTATTATTTTTTGTGTAAAAAAACTTATTAGGAATTGAGAAATTATAATGCTGCAAAATTATGTTGTTTTTTTAACTCAAATTTATCTATTCAAGATATTAAATGCATGGCCTCGCCAAGTTTACAAAACTTGTCGGCAAGGACCAATAGATAAAAAAATGACAAACATTGTTTACAGTATTTTTCCCTAAGTATTGTTCTAGTATTCATTATAATAGGCTTATTTGGGATATTTAAATATTTTATGATTAAAAGTTGTGGAATTAATAACAGCGTGGTTTACAATTTCAACCTAAGAAAATGTTTAAAATAACTGAATCTGTTTGTTTCAGATAACAGCATCTGCTGAACCAATTTCAGGTAGGACATGGACGCTTTTTATGCATGTTTTGTACGTAGGTTTCCACGTTTACTTAGTCTCTAAGATGCATGTTCTATTTTAATCGAATTTAGATGTAAATTTCCTTGCAAATTATCAGTTTGTTAGATATGAATCGTACTAAATAACTTAAGAATCGACGAACTATTTAAGTTACCCGAAGTTTAAATAATAACTGTTTATTTAACATAACTGTTTGACAAACATTGTATTTAAAACGAAAATCAAACATTTTAAGTTTAATTCATATCTATAGCATTATCATAATGAAGGGGAGCGAGCTGGTGTAGTGGTTAGAGCGCGGGACAGTCCCTGAGGTCCCGGGTTCGATCCCCGCCAAGTCACCAATGGATTTTATCTAAGTGATAATGCCGCAACCCCTAGGTCTAGCCTGAAGGTGAAAAACAATCTCAGGCTCGTGCCTAGCGTCCTAGAACAAAAAATGTCATTATGAAATTATAAGCAGTTACAAGCCAAAAGTATGTAGTAAGATGATTATTTTTCTGAATTGAGTGACGGGTACCACAGTTTTTAGTGAAGTCGCTTAGCATATCCCGATACATTTCATGAATATTATGATTTTGTATGGGTAATTTAGCTTTATAAATGCATAGACTCCGAAGAATAGCCGTTGCTTGGATGCCAATATTTACAATTCGTAATCAAGCCAATACAATACAATCAAATCAGTATTTATTTTTAAGCAAAACTCGGCATTCCAATCTTAAAGTGTGTGATTTTTTATTAACAACGAAAATTGTAGAAAACATAACCTTTTTTCGTTCTGAGTCCAAAAAGAACTAAGGTCCAACAAGTTACTTTGTTGGACCAAAATCTTATTATTTACCAAATTGCGCCAGTTATTTTAAAACATGAAACATGGAGGAAATAAAAGTTTCAAACTGTTAACATTTTATATTAGTTGCAGTTAGATCAGACGAATATAGTTCATACTATAATTTTTTAAGTTATTAATATACATTTTTATTCTTCTATATAATTGTGCAAAGTGATGCAAAAGTATGTTAAAAAGCTGTAGTCAGTTGGTGATGATTACATATTATAGTTGATTTCATGAAGTGAGAAAAAAACTAGTTTTACGTAACCATTTGCATCTTTAACAACTTTTAATAGTAAATGTTATACACTTTTATATTATAGAAACATACGAAATGATTAGAGTTTTAAAATTGTGACATGAACATATAAGAATGTTAAATATTTTCAGATAGTAGGATAAAGTAATTGTTTAATTGTTATCAAATGTCGTGATTGGAATAAATATCATTCGTTAAACATGCGATCTTCAGTGACCTTCCGATTCATTGTTGATTAAAACATTCATCTACTTCTACCATTAATGTCACATATACTGTAAAAAGCCAACTAATCACCGAACGTTATTTACATTAAATGTAAATAAATTATCAAATGTAATAAATTAACCCTGATGTAATTAAAATCCCTATTGCTATTATACATAAATATTATTGTAAAACTCCTTCGACCTAAGTTTCGTCAAAACAAAAGACCTCAGTTGCGTAATTACCTGTTTCAAACCAGGAAAATAAGTCTTTGAATCACTCTGAAAGAAGGAATTAATACCTGTAACGAAGACAATTAAAGTAGTAATTATGAAAGTTGTAGGTAAGGTGAGGGAGGGATTGTATAACCCCCTCATTATACAGTTCATTAGAAGACAAACCTCCCCCCCCCAGTCCTACATACCATGTGGCGTACAGTTGGATACCGCAAAAATTGGTAGGACTGCCATCAAAACTGTAACTTTACAACAAACACCTATTTTTACTACAAATGGAAACACATAATTTAACAGCTGAGTTGACATACTTTGCTAAAAGTGTAACAAGTACGTCTGGCTTCGAGCCAGAAAAGAATAATAGTTTTTTATGGATTTAAAATATGATTAGCTGCTATAAATTGTTAGCTATTGTTGTTTTGAATAAATCGTCATGTCTTTGAAAAGCCAAAACAACGACTTCTTTTAAATCAATAACACAGCTCCAAAAGAAATCTTACTCTTTCTTCTCTCATATTCAGGGTGACTATGCCTTATACTTGTCTCAATAGGATGATATAATGATAATATTTTATTTATTTAATGCATTATTAAGTTGAATTTCTGATCACGAATTTTATTTCTTCATACGTAACCATGCGTGACCATAGTGAAAGTTTTATAATTCATTGGATTTTTTGTTCAAACGATAGGAAAATCGTTATGCAGATAATCTAAAGTAAATCAATTAATTTAAAAGGTGGTGATTTTTTTTATAAAGTTATGATTTAAAATCTATATTAATTGAAATTCCACGTTTCCCAATAATATCGTTTCAACAGAAGAACAATAAATAAAACTGTAATAAAGATTGCTATGTAAAAAATTAAATCTAAAAACATCAATAATCAGCTGATAATAGGTTGTAAAACATTCCACCGTTAAATATTTTAAAGTGTGCGTAAAAAGTTTTAAGCATAATATTTTTTTATAAATTTTATTTTTAATTTAAATTCCAAATATTCTTTAGAAAATCCATTTAAAATAAATATTTGTTTCAAGCCAACTAAATTCATGACTACTGTAACTGAAGATGGGAAACCTATATTTATCTTACTAAATTGCTAACATTTCCTGCCTTAAAATACAGTACTTTTTGTTTTTAAGATATTTTTTTCTATGCATAAAGCTTACTGATGTGTATTTTATCCAACCGTATTAATTGATTTTCTGATGGCTTCGATCAATACAAGAATTTAGAGTAGTAAGAACTATCACCTTGAAAATATTTCTGTCTAGAAACATAGCCTATGCTCGCATTACTCGTTATGAGAGCAATTTTTTTAAGTAATAATATCTAATATACAGAGTTTAAATTTTTAAATAAAATTAAACAAAATGTACGAATTTATTTAACTATGAGATAAGAAAGGATAGATCAACACCAGGTTAAAAACCCATATGTTACATTTTCCACGAACACGATTTTCTAAACCTAAACAGCGACATACGTGACTTTGGGCGGGGATGATTTTTCCTCTTCCAAAATAATATCATCGCATTGATTTGTAGCCGACCGGCGTTATATATTACTTGTAACGGCAGTTCATAATCCATTGGTCTGATTTATATCCTTCATCGAGAGAACATACTGTATATTAAACAATGGTTAAAACTAAATACACTTCACGAAGATAACGTATTGATATTTTAAAAAGTTGTATTGTGCCTCCACGAAATAAACTGTACTTATACTACTAAATAGTGCCAGGTATTAAAAACCTTTTAGCCAATATTTTCTTTTAAATCAACACATATAATGGGTAAAAATCTGTTAGAGAATAACTTTTGTATATTGTACGTTTACATTGAACGATTGAACTATTGACTTAGATACTAAAGCTGACATCTGCTGATAAATGCACCCTTTTACTCTATAAGGACATAAATGAATTAAGAGAATTCTCTTATACATGAATTAATATACATGCATTAATAATAACTATATGCATTACAGGATTCACTTCATTTCATTCGTAACAAATGAGCTTTCTTTTAATTTTTACTATAGAAGTTAACCGGGAAATTAGATATGCTATAATATATACTATGTTGACATTTCGGTAAGGCTTGAATAAAGGTTTATGTTTAAAAAATATGGTAGCTTAACTAAAAAAGTTATTTTTGCGAATTTTTCCCAAGTAGGGAAAAACCTATTGCCGTAGGTCTCATGGTAACATCTAGGCCCGGGACTGATTTACTTTTTCTTTCAGAGGTTCCCTAAGACAAAAAACCATCAGTTCAAATTCATTATTCATTTATTTATGTGTCCGTTAGCACGATAATTTGAGTAAAATTTATTGTTAAATTAAATTTGGTAAAAACGTGTAAACTTACGTTTCTTAGACCGAGTTGGCGAACCGTCCTGATAGGGAAAAATCCAAATACTAGATTAACAATGCGTATGAAATTAAAATTGGAACTCGTTCTATTCTTGCAAGTATGGTGCTATTGTTAGAAAGAAGTATCTCAAAATATATTTTTCTTACTTTACCATATAAAGTAGTGTTTTTTTTTCACATCAACAGTAAAAACATTCAATGTGTATTCTACTTTTTTACCTCTTTCCTTTATTACCCAAGGTAAAATGTAAATATTACATTACCAAATAGAAATTACATCAACAGTTTCATTCGTTCTGTTATTGTGGGATGTTTAAATACAAGAAGTGTTCTATGAATTATTATTCTAGTGTTGGAAATGTTATATTTTCATTATCTATATTGTATAGATCATTATAGCGCAAAATGTTTACCCTGGGTTATCGAAAATTGTATCCTACAAGTACATAAACAATACAAATAACATTTGGATATTATTGATACAATTATAAAATGTTTTATCATATACAACATTATACCTGTATTTATAATGATTATTTATTTTCAAAACAATCGTATAGTATGTATCCAAATAATTGGATATAAAACCTATGTCAATTAAATTAATATCAAATAATGTTAATAGTCTGATGCTACCAACCCAAAAAGGCAGCTATCGAGTAAATTAATTTAAACCAGGCCTAGAATAGATGCTTTAACATTTTTAAATGATATAAAACATCTATAAAGTATATTCCACAAGAAGTGTTTTCTTTGAACGGAATGATTCCATTAGTTAATGCAGGGTAACAATAGTGATACTTCAACGTTGAAAAATGTAAATGATAGCAAATCGATTGTAACAACTGATGTTTCATTTCCATTACCAAATTTTGTTTAAGATTTCTATATTTTTATGTAAAAAGGTTTAAGTTTGACATAAGAAAAGTTTTCTTGTTTCAGTACTTGTGAACCGATAGTTGTTCCTTGTATCACGACTAGGGTACAAATCAGGCTCTGATTTGAGTTTAGTTTTATTATACTGAGTTACTAAAAATATATGTTTTAAAGTTGAACAACG